TGTATAGTTGAATTTGCGGGGTATAAATAAATGTTATTATTATTAATGTTATTAGATAATACCGTGTTGTGTTTCGAAAAGTGTTTGGTGTGGTCCAGGAGTATATATTTGTGTTTCAAGAACTGTTCGCTGTTTGCAGATATGGGCCACTGTACTCTTGAGTGCTCATCAAACTTTCCGCGTGCTCAATATCTCGACCCAGCCATCATACACATGCAGATATTAACTAATTGTTTTTAACATTAAAATCAAAAAAGCTCATAAAATAACTTGATTTTTCAGGTATAATCATAAAAAGTTTATTGACGTCACTATTGTTTTATAACATGCTCAAACTGGGAATAATAAAGTTTATTGACGTCAAGCGTGCTCAATGGGAATATAAAGGAAGCTCACGATACCGAATTTGACCACGCGAATTTTCTACTATGTTAAAAGTCTCTGTTGGCCATGGATCTGGCAAGTGATCGCTCCATAAGAACCTAATTGAAAAAGGTGGGTAAGAAAAGTACATTTGTGAAAGGTTTGAACCCAGGAGTCATTTCAAAAGTAGGTTGAGATTGATCGCCCGGGTGAATTTCTGTAGAATGTTCTCAATATTTTTTTGTGAAGGGTGTTGACGGTTTTTTACTTTTTAAAAATGAATCGACGAACAACAGACGGCAAGATCCAGTAAAACCTCGCGTTCATTTAGTAAGATTAAAACACAAATAACAATAGTTACGTAGATCAACAAGTGTCGTTCCGTCTCAAATTTTCTTCACAAGATTTTCCGCTTACTGAGGTTCTTGTAATGTTACTGGTGCATGTACATGTAAGGTCTGGTTTCGGTATGATTGATAGGATCGGTAGGATCGTTGAAAAATGGATTGATTGAAAGCAACTGTTCAATAGACCTTTTTACCGATACGGCGGCCATTTGTTCTTAAAGTTTTCTTAGAATAAGATTTTAATGTGGAAAAAGGTCCCTGTGCCGTGTTTGGATGTGATAATGATCGCCTTTTTCCCGAGAAATATACGGTGAAAGACCATATTTTTAATACTAAACTAGAAAAAGGCGATCATTATTACATCCAAACACGGCACAAGGATCTTCTCTCCCATTACAATCTTATTCTAAGAAAACTGCGCTCAAAAGTACGTACAAACGAAATGTGCTCATGCCCCCTGGGCATCCTATAAAACTCCTTAAATCGAATGTAATTCAATATGGCCGCCGTATCGGTAAAAAGGTCTATTATCGTAGCGATCCGTTTACGACAACGATCGCTAAGATAGAATACAATTTATAGTCAGTAGCGTACAACTGATTTCAGCGCTGTGTATACACCCGGATTTTTAGACATGATTTGACGTTTGTGATTCGACCGTCATGATACGTTCATAGGTCGAGGACCGAACATTGTTGATATTTTTCAAGGGTCGACAAGACAAAACTTTCAAACTCCCCAGCAAAATCTTTCACAACGGCAGACAGATCAATTTATCTGTTGATTTCTTCTGCAAAACGTCAAGACTTCATGTTATGTTTTAACCATGCAGAAGCTTAGTAAGGACGAAAAAGTACCAAATTCAGGAAATACAAATTTGCTTACCTGTTAACTAAATGTACGTAAACAACAACAAACAACAACAAATTTTATTGAAAATTGGAAAATAACTAATTACATTACTTTCCCACCCGCAAATAGCTTATGAACTAATCGAGGCGGGGGGAGCTGAAGAAATATTACAAAACAAGATTTATATATAGATGGACTAAATAACAGTGAAGACACTACAATACAGTAAATAGAATTTAAACTAACATAAAACAAGGCATGTAGATAACGATTACGAAGAGAGGTTAACTTAAAGTATTAAATAACTTAATAAGACGGGAGACTTCGACATAATCATCTTCTGACCGCAAAAAATTTAGTAATAATTCCTTTATTTTTTTACGAAAGGACGAACGTTTAAGAATTTTAATCGAATACGGAATAGAGTTCCAAATTTGGGTAAATTAAATTGCAGGCATTTACCAACTCCAAAAAGTCGAAACCTTGTAATACGAAAGAAGACTAAACAATAAAACATCAGACTATTTCGCCCTTCGCCGTATGTATTGACCTGATATTTCGACCATTATGAAATCGCCCACAGAAATACATTCAAACTCGGCAATCGAACTCCTGGTTTATTGCATGTTATCAGGCGGTCATGTTGAAACGCAGACCATGCAGACTGCAGACTGTGCAGACTGAGTGTTATTTTTTTACTTGTACATTAATTTTCTAGTAAAATTTTTACTATAGTTTCCTGCTTCCTCTCATTATGTGCACTGTGCATCACCACCATATGTGCACTGATGTGTACCTGCAAGGGTCATCAGTAGGAAATGAGAAAATTACGGGCTCATGTTTACCGGCAGATGTAAAAGCAGTTTCTCCTGCTTTTAGCTGCGCCGCTATCACGCTAGTCTGCTACCCAGCCGTTTTTAGTGTCGTCACGCAACGCTCCTCCCCATTGCGCAGGAGCGAGCACGATGGAGGAAGGTAAGCTTTTTCTTTCTGTACCTGTATTATATTGCCACGATTATTTATTTTTTTAGTAGAAGAAGCTTTTTCAGGTTAAGTGAATTAAAATAAAACCCTTTTCGGCTTCCTACAGAGGAAAGGAAATGTCTCTCTCGTAGCCGTTGTGGGAAGGCGAAAAGGGTTTTATTTTAAGTCACTTAACCTGAAAAAGCTTCTTCTACTAAAAAAATTTAAATAATCGTGGCAATATATAGTACAGTTACAGAAAGAAACAGCTTACCTTCCTCCATCGTGCTCGCTCCTGCGGGAAACTATAGTAAACATTTTCGCTGTGGCTATATGGCCGGTAACCGGTCAAGGTGTTAAAAACACTAAATGACCGGCAGTCCCATATTCCGTAAATTTCACAAAATTGAAAGACTCTAGCTAATCTAAACTATCATATGTCGATTAAGACAAGTCAAGCGATCCTGAAATGCTTTATAGATCTCAAGTCTTTTGTGACACTTAGAACTTTTTTCAGCTCGACTGCCGGTCAAGGTTTTCAAAACATTACATGTGTAAATGGCCGGCAGTCCCATATTCTCAGTAAATTTCAAAAACCCGAAAAAATTCAGTCGTTCTGAACTATCATAAGTCGTGATCCTGATCAAACCAGCCGGTTTTGTGGGATTTCTATATTATGTTTTTGCCGGTCTCGAGTCTTTGGATGTTCGTTACTATTTTCTATCCAAAGCATGGCGGGACAGGCGACGTTTGATGTCATAGTATCTTGACCTTTCATGAGGCCTCCGTGGAAAACCGGCGGGAAAAGTCCCTACGCGTTAGTTCCCTTCTGGAGCTGAAATACACTTCAACATTATCTTGTCGACGTTTAATATGATGAAACAAAAAGGCTTTTTTGTACAAGGTAATCTTAACTTTGCGTTGATGTATAGAAATAATATCAAGTTTTCAGTAATTGTTCTTTGCCATTGAGTGGACTGCGAAATTTACTGAGAATATAGGACTGCTAGCCATTTAGTGTTTTGAAAACCTTGACCGGTTACCGGCCATATAGCCACAGCGAAAAATTTTACTAGAAAATTAAGGTACAAGTAAAAAAAAATAATACTCAGTCTACACAGTCTGCAGTCTGCAGTCTGTATGGTCTGCGTTTCAACATGACCGGTTATCAGGGGTGCTTACCATTTGACAGAAAAATCCGGTTGGGGTGTCGAAAGCATAATGGTAAGCGATTTGCCAGTTTACCGTAGAAATGCCATATCCGTTACGGTTTGAATCCAAAAAAAGGGTAAATTTGTGTCGCGTGAGTCTGGAACTGAGAAGGAACCGAGAAATTGGTTAATGGTAAGCAACATTCCGTTTGGTTCGTACCAACCGGAATGAAAGGACTACCTCAAAACGTACTCCTCAATTTTCGGTTGGAATTTCCGAAAAGTGACCTTACCATTTACCTTCCATCCGGAATTTCCGAAATTTTCCGTCAAATGGTAAGCACCCCAGGTCGCCGCTTTCCACGCAATAAAGCCTTCCTCTTTAGGTAAAATGCGTTTGTCGGGATTCTAGCTTCGTTGCACTTACGTTCTTTGGTGTAAAGCCTTCCTTGCCACCCAGATGTTTCTCTAACTGTTTCGGATCCCACGCCAGAACTCTCGCCTGCCTTTGTTTGCAACGTTTACGCAGTACGAAGCCATACGTCACGTGATTAGTGTCGAATCATGACAGGTCGAATCATGATACATCGAATCATGTCTGAAAATCCGGATGTAGTCAGCTTTAATCGGGGTTCCTGTTTCTTTTTCTCAACAGCACTTTTTATGTTTGTTTCGACTCGTCATTTTAGAACGTTCAAATATCAAATGATCAGTGAGTGATAGGGAAAAAGAATCCATATGAATCTGCTTTGTCATGAGCGTTCACAGTTGAAGTCAAATTTCGCTCTAATCCTGGATTACCTTAATCCTGCTTTAAACAACCGCGCTCTGGTCAGTTAAGAATTTTTCAATAACGAAATTTCGTTTCGCTCACACGAAATTTCGGTTTTGTCGAACCGAAATATCGTCTAACACGAACGCAAAATTTCGTGAACCCTTCACGAAATTTCGCAACGAAATTTTGGTTCACGTGGCAAACTTTCGTTTCGGTTCATCACCTAGCTTCCGGAATTTCCCAGGGACTAGCATAATAGATGCGCCGAAATTTCGCCGAATTTTCCTCTGAAACGAAAGTTCGCAATTCGTTCGCCAAACTTTGCGAATTTCACTCTCATTTCTTTTGCACAGTACTGTAACTGACACCAGGGCATTTGACCGACGGTCTAACGCTTGGTTACACTAATCGGATACTAAATATGTGGCGCGATACTGGGTTGTTTTTCAATGTTTTTTTTTGTTGTTGTTGTTGTTCCATCCAGTGTTAATGCTACTGAGCTCTACAAGATCGCCCGTCTTTCTGGTCTCAACAACCCAATGACTGCCAATGGTCTATAACAAGAAACGAGTCATATTTGTCGCCCTTATCTTCGCTTCAGCTTGGGCATGGATGGCGTCTCTCTACTTCACTATCACTTTCCATAATCAGAAACGCCCGTCAAAGCTACAAAATGCGCCTACCTGGGCAAATACTACCCCTATAGTCATTATGGCCCCAGTAAAAAATCAAACAGAAATCAACGACACAGACGACTCAGATATAGACGAAACTCTCCATCAACTGATTAATTTTAAAGACTTGGGAAGGAATAAGAGAGCAGTATTGCTATTGATCATCGTTTCCACTGCACCAGCAAGATTTAAAAGAAGACAGTTAATAAGAAAAACCTGGTGGAAACATTGTTCTGGCAATCAGGCTCAGGTAGGCAGGCAAGATAAGTTCCTTATCGCCTGTTATCTCACGATTTCACGAATACTTTACTTTCAGTTATTCATAGCGAAATTTTCTACCGACGACGACGACTACAACAAGCAAAAATCAACAGGTTTAAATAAGTTAGCAAAACAACAACTTTGCACGTACATCACACCTTGTTTTTGTACTTTCTTTATTGTCGTTCAACAACCTCGACGTGAAAAACCTAATTTGACGTTTTACACCGAGGACGTGAACAAAAGACACCGATTCTGAACTTGCATACAGTCCTTTTGGAATAAACCTTCAGAAAAATTCGCCAAAATTTGACAATTAAACGAGGTCCAATAGTAGTCAACAGCAATTATGTTGAAAACAGCTCGAATTCTAGTAAAGTGACGTTTTCGTTCCTTCACTCTTGTAAATACTAAAAGCTCCTCAATCCTCAATGGAAGGTGTCTAAGTTTAAATAGAGAGAATTTAAAGTATTCGTTAATCTGCTTTTCCAGAAAACGTCTAGTTTCATCATTTCATCATATTCGTTTCCTGTTTTTATCTCACCAATGTATGGAATATTTGTGAAAATCTTCAAGGTGAATCGGTATATTTCATAGAGCTAGCTAAGAGCTACACAACGAGCAAGAGTACTATTGACCAACAAGTGAACTTACACGGCAGGGGTAGCTGTAGTGTCAACTATTACTAGTAATACTCTAGAGAACTGTTTCTTTCACATTTCGTGTTATTCTCGTGTATATCTACGCGTAATTACTGAAAAGACAAAGAGTCAAGTTCCCCGGCCTGGGACCTCTGTTGGGCAAACAAAACACAAAAGCTAAGTTGTCGTTTACATTAAAGATCGAAGTTTCAGTAGGTTTACCTAATTTTACTTTGCGTTATTTTCCTCACTTATATGTGTTGTCCGTGACTGTGCCCACATGGTAGGTGGCTCCTCCTAAAATGTTCTGTAATTGGTATAGGATTTAATGGAGCCGAAACCAATTGTGGAATTGCACGCATTTTAGGCATCCTACTGATGAACAGTTGCGACACGCAGATATATATTTTTTAGCAACTAAGATAATTTGCAGTCTGTCTACTTTGAATATGATAGAACTATTCATTATCTCATCTGAATATTTGATTTCGGGGCCATAAAGTTACTGGGACTTTCGAGAAACGGGCGCAAGCAGCCTAGTCCCTAGGCGTTCTAGGTTCGGTCAATCCTGGACTCTGCCGTGTGCTATGACGTCACCGAGAGAGACTTGCTCGCTCTTTCCCAGACTTTGCGCGGACAACTGGGCCAGACAGAACGCCTAGGGACTAGGTTGGGGCCCAAGGGCTTTTCTCTTGGACTTTTGGAGGGTCCCATCCCAGATTCCACGAGAAAAGCCCTGAAGACGGCTCACACGACACCCGGGACATTAGGGCAGTTTTGGCCTCGTGGGTATAACTTGAATTTTTCTTTCGTCAGGTTGAATGTGTCTTCATGACTGATGGACTCATGACAAACCGAACTCAACGTAACCTTATTTTAAAGGAAAAGGATAAATACAAGGATATTAAGCTTCAGCCTCTTAAAGGAGGCCGTGGGCAGTTTGGATTCCGCTTCCTTGACCAAATCAAATGGGCAGCGGCGAAATTTAACTTTCAGTACCTACTTAGAATCGATGATGACTACTTCTTGTGCCCAAAAAGGCTTCTTTCTGAGCTTCCATCGAGGCCGAAACAAAATCTAGTTTGGGGATTTTTCCACTGTGAAGCAGGAATCACATGGCTGGATGAAGCATTTATGATATTCACTAAAGATATCATTCAGAAGTTCTTGGGGCAGAACGAAAGCTCGATGTTGTGTCATCCACATGCGGACCAACAAGTGATGTTGTGGCTGAGAAAAATTCGAAAGAAAACATACTTCCACGATACTAGGTTACATCATCAGCCTCCAGCGTCACATGTTCCTCGATTTAGTAAAATCAGGAGAGTTTGTGACTCCTATTTAGGAGTGCATGGGGCATACGGTAAGACCATGTATCATCTGGGGCTAAGAGCTAATGACAACGCTAAAAATGTTTCACCTATTCCTGAATTTGCAAGATTTTGTAAAAACACAAAGTTTAATTACCATGTATTTAATAGCATGTGGCGATATGTACCCAAGCCCTGCAAAGATAATCCAACGTGGAACTTGGGAGGTGAAATGTGGTTTGGTAAGGAAGTTGGTCAAGGAATTTAGTCTAAAAATTATTTTTTTAAAAAAATAAAAACGAAAGAGGGCCGTGTCAGTTACAGGATGTTAAAGAATAAAGAATGGAATTTCGTTGTCCTGTTTATATTCAATGGTAAATTTGATACTTTTGTGACTATTCAAATGCTGTCATGGAAGATATTAATCATCATGGTTAATGTGTATTAAGGGTTTAGTATTATCGTTTTTCACACGATTGTCACTGTGATATTGATCGCGACGTTTCGACTGCACACTGCAGGTCTTCATATCCTTATGGGAAAAGTGTGACAATATCCGCACTTTGTCGGACTTTTCCACACTTCCACACCTCTTAGAAGTGTAGAACTAAAGTAAAGAATGAGAAGGGAAGTGTGACAATATCCTGACTTTAAGGGACTTTTAACTTTCACACCTCTGAAAGGTTTAGAAGTAAGAAAAGAATGACAAGGGGTTAGAGACTGGGGCAAGTGTGTGACAACATCCTGACTTTGTCGGATTTTTCCACACTTTCACACCTCTGAGAAGTGTAGAACTTCGCCTGGAACTTAGTAAAGAATGACAAGGAGTTCGTGTGTGACAATATCCTGACTTTCTCAGACTTTTCCACACTCCCACAACCCCTGAGAAGTGTAGAACTTTTCAAAGAATGACCAGGAGTTCATGAGTGGAAAACAAGTGTAACAATATCCTGAATTTGTCAGACTTTTCCACACTTCCACTTCCACTTCCACGCTGGAAAGTGTGGAGCTTAGTAAGGCCTGGTTCACACCCTACTTTTTATGTGCTGAACCTAACGTTAACTGAATAAGTTCGACTTGGAGCGACACTGGCCCGATATCTGATTCAGACGGCGTACTGAGTGTCGAGCCTAAGTTAAGTTCGACAAACGTTCGACAGACCCGGCCGAACTTAACCCTTTTGGCCCACCAAACTAAAATTGCCGTACCAAATTGATTCAGATGCCGCTTTTTTTCCGTACCCTGGGTAATTCATCAGTTAGCTTCGGTACATGAGTGGAGCGGCGTCTGTCTGAACCGGGCCTTAGCCGGGTACTTCCACACTTCCACACCTCGGAGAAGTGAAGAATTAAGGATGAAAAAGGAAAATAGGGATCTTGTGGCCAGCGCTGGACATTAAATTTTGTGTGATTTGGCAAACAAATTAAGAATGATTTTGAACTCCACGTATACCTATGGAACTTCTGTAGCTAAGCCTACCTGCATGCCGGTCAAGGCAAGAAAGCCGACCGCAATCAGCCTTCTTTCTCACCACTCATTCTTTGTCACCAACCTCGCGTATCGCGAGAAGGATTTGAAATGATCGATGTTCATATCGGCAAAGTAATAGGCCAAAATTTTGAAGTTATGTTGAACTACACATAGGAACGATATTTACTAAAAATGTTTTCTATTTCTGGCAGGCATTACTTGGACTGAATGAGATCCAACTGAACTGGAAAATGAAATTCATTAAGGCCAATATATATCAGTAAAAGGAGTTTTTTTCTAAAAACTCTTTTCAGCGAAGTTACAAACAAATACATGTACTGAATCAGTGTATACCTTCACTGAATTATCACAAATAACCAATAAAAGAAGCTCAGTATCTAATTCAAACTCACCGGAAAAAGATCTCATGTCCGATTCACTTAATAAATTGAAAGCCGTCTTAAACGAGCAGTTAATATATGGGCTAAAGTTATCGGCCTAGAGGGTCATATTGCCGGGGGTTTTAAGGATATTAGGTCAGAAAAAATTCATTGATTTTTTTTCTTAGTTTTATTCTTAACTTCGTCTGCCTTTTGATTTAGCTGGTCAACCTCTAAATTATTCCTATAATTATGGCAAAAAGAAGTTCATGTTGAAACACAGCCTGCGAAGCAAGCGTTTCCTTTCAAGCAAGAGGTTTTATTATGCTCTTTTGGCTCGACTAATTGCCCCAAAGCTGGCACGAGAGGGGAAAAGAGTGATAAGGAGGGAGGGGGAGGGAAAAGAAAAAAACAATCTTTCTCTTTTTTTTTTTTTTTTGTTTTTGTTTTGTTTTTTTTTTTTCTTTTGCTCAACACACCTTCCCCCCCACCCCCACCCCACGGTTCTTTTTTTTTTTCAGTTTTTAGTTTTATCGGATTTTTAGATTTTGTTTTTGGGGGTTTACGTTTTGTTTTTTTTTTTTAACTCGGTAATTTTAATTTTCAGTGCGGTATTGCGGTATCATCTAGCTCTGCGGTATGTTTTTCATCATTTTGGTCTTTAAGATTGTTCCAACCTTCTCGCGATAAATACGTCTTGAGCAGAACGGTAAATGATTACAACATTTGTGGGTCATTTTGGTTAATGGTCGATAATATACAGTTTGATTGTTGTTGCATCCAATGATAATGAGTCAGTCGTCTCAAGTTACCTTTTCCAGGCGTGCGTCAAAGGGTCTAATTCTCTTAAACGTTTTCTCACAATGTCTGAGGTCGCTGAGGTTGAAGACGGCGTGGTCATCATTGACTGTGTAAGGAGAACAGACACGAATCAACATTACCAACGGACCACGGTATCATTTGATTTTGAGGTAAGCGGTATATTCAGTGTATATTAGTCATCATTGCGCTTCAACAAAATATCGGATGTTTTAGATACCGTTTGTTTTTAGATTCAACTTGTGAGGCGCTTGTTGCATTACCATTCAAGCTGACAGAATATTTCCTTAGCGGAGACAACCGAGTAACCTCTTGAAACAACATATATTTTAACACGCTACGTGTGAGACATAAAAATCTCTGGCCAAAATCAGACCGACAAAATTAGAAATATACACTCGTTTATCTCCGGGGAGGTCTGCATTTTTTGGACTATTTTATCGGTTCTATTGTTTGAAATACGTACAGTGTAGAACTTGTGATGTTGTTGCTACTGACAACAGACTTCCTTTGAAAATACGTACGATCAAAGACGTCAGGACTGAATCTATGAATGAAGAATATTAGACTTAGAGTGATAAAACATTTATGGGTTTTTATGTAGACGGTTTTCTCTCTATAACCTTTATATAGAGAGAAAACCGTTTAAAACGGCCATAAATCGGCCCGTGAACCACTCAGGAGAGACGTAACACACATTTTAAGTAAGGTAAGCTGTTTTTTATTGAAATCCTTTCATTTTCGTAGGTTACGGAAACGATAGGTTTTTTTCCCATACAAATCCTCATATTTTGAATGTTACGCAACAATGCCGATGCTCGCCGATGCTCATATTTCGAGCTTGGGCTACCTGTGGAAAAACAAAAAAACAACACGCGATTCTTGCCATTCGTAACTTTCAATTTACTGAACGAGTAGCGGCTGCCTCGTTCCACTTTGAGATCACTGTCCTGTTTTAAAGAACGAGTGGGAGAATGGTGTAAGACTGTAACCAGAGTTACCATGTCGGTACGCTATGATAATCATATATGAAGAGCCTACCTGGTAAGACTGGCCGACGCCATTGCCGACGCCGGCCATGTTTTCTTAACATTCCGGTTTCCGTTTTAGTTGCGCCGGGTGAGTGGGAGCAGTGTTTATAATGGTAAGATTACCGCACAGCCACACACATTTCTTATGCATTCATGTTTCGACCCTATTTAAGTTAATTATATGTGTTTAAAATACTTGTGAATGGTATAGCACGAGTGCTATCGTTACTGTATTGTGAAAAAGTAAACACAGGAAATGACACCCCGAATCCTCTATATATTATTGGGTTGCTTCGGTTTTCTATGATTCTTGTGTATGTCAGATCGTAATACTCTAAATTCGAGATTGCTCCGAATCTGTCAATTTCAGAAAAAGTTTTCTTTAATATTTTACGAGAAAATTTAAAACAAATAGTAGGATAAGAACTCTTTTTTTCTGTAGTTAAAACAGGCAGTTTAAATTTACGAGAACAAAATCTTATTCTATGATTTGTTTTAAATCTTTTTCTTAAAATAAGAAATCTCGAATTTAGAGTGAAAATAAGCTTAATCAGGTAAGGTTGTCTTCTAAATCAATTTAAGGCACCCAATTATTAAAATCGCATGTATTCACTTGCAGACATGCCACCCCCAAAAGGCAAAAATCTTGAGATTCTGAACCTCTAGGAAAAGAAGTTAGAAATGGGAAAAAGTAGTGACATGTCCATAATTTTAGTGAAAGGACTTTCAGTGGCTGGGTATTCTGCAGTTATCAATGTTATACCTGAAAGGGGGGGGGCATGGGATAGGGTAGGGACTTTGATCAAAAACAAATATTTGGGGTCAAACCTCCCAACCCTTGGGATGAGATTTCAATTCAAACTTCCCCACCACGGGATAAGGTTTTAAGTTCAAAGTTACCCACCATAGTGGGAATTTCAATCTGACTGAGTCAAAGAGTATGTGCCTGCATTTGACAAGCTCGCACTGCTCCAGTCCAAAGTGTTGGTGAGTTCTGCTCTCTTTAAAAAAATTTCATATACTAATAGAACCTCGAAAACAAGCTTCAGTTTGATTTTGTTTTCTTTAATAACTTGAACTCAGGTCATGAATTCATGGCTCTGACTATTCTAGAGCCATGTACAAGCATTCCAGTTTTTCAAGGAAATTTCAGTTGCGACAATGTGAAAGTTGATCTTGGTTCTTGTCTTCAAGTTTCACTTGCTGCAGATTGATGTGAAAGTATTTGTTTACGATCACATCAATAAAAAGGACCGATGGTTGTTTAAGGAACAACCTCACCTTTTGTTCCCCCATTTTCTTGCACCTTGAAAGTATGTTCAAGAACTGACCAGTTAGCCTCACCATTGAAGTTTTGCTAATGAAAATTCTTTTTTTTTCTACCACTGAAGTTTTCACTTGTTCAAAGTAATCAACACTTTCAAGCGATAGAATTCGTGGACCAACTGAACCCATTCCGGAAAAGCTCTAAATAGCATTAATCAATGATCTTTCCTAAGCTTTCTTCGCAAAACATGCGTGGCATCAGCCATGCAATGGTTATTACTCCCAGTTTCTACAGTCTCCGC